TATATATATAATATTAGTACAATATATTAGTACAATCTCTGTGTGAACTGTATAATAGACAGAGGTCTTCCTACTAATTGCTCCTTTCCAGTTTTAACCACCTGATGTTAGATGTTTACTTGCAACCTATCAAAGCAGTTGTTATATTTATTTATTACATATAAGTTTATTGAAGATGGTCTAATATAGCAATACATGTTACACAGAAATAAACTTGGCCCTAAACTGAGATAGAAACACACATGTATTGATGTTGAAATAGAATAGAAGATAGTCTTTTTTTCAGAGATATAAATAGTACAACATGAACTTTGGAACCAGCAAAGACAAAGAAAAACCCGGAACAAAACCCGTTGTTTGGTGATATAACATTAAGTGTATCGGGATATAATGTCCAATAAAGACAAGTTTCTCTATTTGAGTCTTGTGTTTCTTTCTGCAGTATGATACAAAGATGGGGTACAAGGTGCAAATATATGATCGGATGTTTATGCTAAAATGGTTTTAAGAGGCAAGAGTTTTCACGAGTCAACACAACTAATCCATTCTCCCCAAATTTTATCGAACTTTGTGGGGCAGCCTCGGGCCTCCAAGGTTATCATACATAGGGGTAGGACCTGGTCCATGAATCATTTCCAGGCATAGGTATTTAAAGGAGAACTATGACATGAGTGATTTCCACTCACCTCATAGTTCTAGCCGACCTGTGACAATGAGACTGTCACAGGTCGGCTCAGTAGATCGGGAGGTGAGAGAACACATACCGGGTTCCCTCACCTCTCGATCCTGTCACGGCTCTATGCCGTGACAGGGGGAGGGGCTGGATTCCCCTCTCCCCGCTCCGATCTGCCAGCGCTGACTGGCGGAACGGACGGGGGAGGGGGCGGGTACAGCTGGCTCTGCCTCTAGATAGGCAGAGCCAGCTGTCACTCACGCAGCTGGGCGGATCCCGTCATCTAAGTCGGGATCCGCTCCAGGTGCGGCGTCTCAGTATACCGCGAGCTGTAGCTCGCGGTATACTGAGCTTAGGGTAAAGGGAGGACGCTAGTTTGTGTCCTCCCGTTACCCCAAGGAGAACTATGGGGAAAAACACTGACCCCATAGTTCTCCTTTAAGGGATCAGTGGATATTTAGTGTTTTTAGTATCAACACCATTTTCCTAGCATAGAATAAAAGTACACGTAGGAATTTTTCTGTACATGCCAAGATCCAAATCACTAAAATACCAAGAAAACATAATTCTGGGCTACCTACACTGGGAACAGAAAAGTTCTGTCAAATAAAATCTATAATCTGTGACCGGAAGGATTTAATTTTTTCACAGACCTATACAATATGTAACATAGCCCTATCTGCTTGTTGACATTTGTGGCAAGTAGAAGTGTCTCTTTTGCCCATATGAAAAAGACAAGTAGAGGTACAACCCTAATTCCCAAAAGGTTAGAATGCTGTGTAAAATCTACATAAAAACAAAATGCAATGATTTGCAAATCTCATAACATAAAATTTTGTATTCACAATAGAAAATAGGAAACATCATCAAATGTTTTAACTGAGAGAATGTACCATTTTTAAGAAAAAAATAAGGGAATTTTGAAATTGATGGCAGCAACACATCTCAAAAAAGTTGGAACAGGGCCATTTTACCACGGTGTAAATGTCTTGGAAATGAGGAGGCCAGTTGCTGGAGTTTTGGGAGAGGAATGTTGTCCCATTCTTGCCTGATATAGGATTCTAACTGCTGAACAGTCCTGGGTCGTCTTTGTCGTATTTTTCGTTTTCAAGATGCGCCAAATATTTTGAATTGGAGAAAGTTCTGGACTGCAGGCAGGCCAGTTAAGCACCCAGACTCTTCTATTACAAAGCCATGCTCTTGTTATATGCAGTATGCGGTTTAGCATTGTCCTGTTGAAACGTGCAAGGCCTTCCTTGAAAAAGACATTGGATGGGAGCAAATGCTGCTCTAAAACCTGGATATATCATTCAGCATTGATGGCGCCTTTCCAGATGTGTAAGATGCCCAATCCATAGGCATTAATGCACCCCCATACCATCAGAGACGTAAGCTTTTGAACTGAGCGCTGAGAAGTCGGAGGGTCACTCTCCTTTTTAGTCTGGGGAACGCAGTGCCCATGGTTGCCAAAGAGAATGTCAAATTTCAATTTGTCTGACCACAGAACAGATGACCATTTTGAATGAGCTTTGGCACCGAGAAGATGGTGGATTTTCTGGATTATGTTCAGATATGGCTTCTTTGTATGATAGAGCTTTAACTTTCATTTTTGGATGGCATGGCAAGCTGTGTCCACAGACAGTGATTTTTGGAATTATTCCTGAGCCCATGCAGTGATGTCCATCACAGAATCATGCCTGATTTTTAATGCAGTACTGTCTACGGGCCTGAAGATAACGGGCATCCAATATTGCGTTTCGGCAATAGTTTTAGCTAGGTCTCAGCCGCCTGCCTAAAGCTGGGTATACATTGGGAGATTTTTTTGTACAAACCTTCGTATGAAAAATTTTGTCGGAACTTTCGATAATGCCAACAGAGAATTGCCAAATGCCATTTGAAATTTTGTTTTGGGGATTAATGGAGTTTCTGGAACAAAAACCACATTACCGTATATACTCGAGTATAAGCCGAGATTTTCAGCCCATTTTTTTGGCTGAAAAGTGCCCCCCTCGGCCTATACTCGAGTCAGCGCCAGCGCGTCTTCTTACTTACCTCGCCGAGCGTCGCGTCACTGCTGCTCCGGTGTGCGGCGCTCCGAGCGGGGTCATCTGGCAGTCTCCGGGTCCTAATTTAGGTGGCCGGAGACTGCCAGATGACCCCGCTCGGAGCGCCGCCCACCGGAGCAGCAGTGACGCGACGCTCGGCGAGGTAAGTAAGAAGAAAAGAAAAAAAATCCCGCAGCGCCAGTACAGCAGGGGAGCAGGGATGTGTCAGCGGCGCGCTGGTCAGACGAAAGGAGCTCCAGGTGGGGTTGTAATTATCGGGCAGGCACCTCTAAGCCAGCTAAATTAGGACCCCACCTGGAGCTCCTCCCACTGGACCAGCGCGCCGCTGACTCGTCCCTGCTCCGGCACAGTGAATCACAGTAAGTGAGGGGAGATTTGGGGGGATTTATTACAGTAACCAATTATGTATTGTCTGCCCTGTATTAGCAGTATATACTCTATATGGAGTATATACTGCTAATACAGGGCAGACAATACATTTACAATGATACTAACATGAATGTATTAAATGATCTGTATGTAGCCCTGTACTATGGATCATTTAACCCATTCATGTTAGCAGAGGATCATTGTAAATGTATTGTTGCAGGCACTCTATATGTACATGTACTATATACTACATATAGAGTGCACTGAACAATAGATTTACAATTATCCTCTGCTAATATGAATGGGTTAAATGATCCATAGTACATGATATGTAGCCCTGTACCCCCTTTTCCACTTACAGAGCTAGGTTATTTTTCTTTTAAATAAATATTAATGTAATTTTATTGGTATCTATCTACCAGTAGCTGCCTCATTTCCCACCCTCGGCTTATATACTTTTTCCCAGTTTTTTTTTTGGTAAAATTAGGTACCTCGGCTTATATTCGGGACGGCTTATACTCGAGTATATACGGTACTTGTTAGAATGTAATTTGTTCAAGATATACTGTATTTACCATGCTGCTCCTATTTTTTTCATCACTACAGCCAAAATTAATTATCTATTTGACCCTATAAACTATTAGAAAATCAAACGAATATTCAGAAAACTAATTTTTTTTCAAACAAAGATTTACTGGTGTATGGCCAGCTTTAGCTGGAAGTACTTAAAATGCTTGATGTTAGGGACTCCCTATTCTTGTTTCAACAGGAGAAAATATTTAACAATCATTGAGAGTAAAGATAATACACATATTTCAACCCTACCTGAGCCCAATGTAAAGCATTAGGAATAAATTGAAAAAGTGGAAATTCTGGATGGTACCAAATGAAATGATTGGGGGAGATATATTGGTTGGAACCTGAAGTCACATAAAGGCATTGTATATAAATCTTTAATCGCATGCACAGAATAGCGGTACCTAGTGTGGAGAGTGCGTCTATGAATAAGATTTATTGTTTTGTATGATGACACTGCTGCAGCCTCCGCAACTGTAGCTGTCTTACCTATTTGAGGAAATAACCCCCAGTGTATATAGACTAAGAGACATACAAATATCTCTGAAGATCTGGTAATGTTCGGCTCCCTGAGTAGTTAGAAGATACAAAGTGGATAAGGAAACGCTAAAGGGATTTGGGCACCAAATAAAGGAGGAGAGCAACAAATTAATTTCGTGAAATACCTTTTTGGTGATATATACCAGGGGCATTGGAAAAAATATATAAACATTTCTGCAGAAATAAATTAGACTTGCCCCAATTAACTTTAAAACCGGAGTAGCCTCCAATTAGACACCAATTTGCAGGACTATTGATATTTTGCCAATCGCATGTCGTGGATCTTTCAAATAGAACAGCATATGATCTGTATATAATAACATGCTCTTACAATGTATCTATCTGCTCTCCCTTTTATTAGTGGAGTACGCTTTATAATTCTGCCAAGAGTTCTATCACCAAGGCAAAAGGAAGTAGAAGAGAGAACAGCCTTGCCTAGTTTTTCTCTGAATAGGAAAGGAATCTGGAACTTTACTATTAATTCTGATACAAGCTGAGGTTTGTGTATAAAATATTTGTATCCAGTATATAAAGGTATCTCCAAAGCTGAATTTCCTCTATATACTAATCAAGCAAGGCCATTCCATCGAGTCAAAGGCTTTGTGGGTATCCAAAGCCAATATAGCTTGAGTGGGGGTAGAGGCATGGGAATTGAAGATTAGTGAAAAGCCTACATTTATATTTGTGGACCTGCCCATAAATAAAATAGATAAAAACAGTTTAGTCAATTAAATAAGAGCTGAAAACACAGAATTCAGTCTTCTAGACAGCATTTTGGCCAGAATTTTAACATGCGTCTTGCTTCTACTAGTATTGGTACCAGTGCATATACCAAGTATTTTCTACTCACCCAAATGCTCCCAATGCCTATCCTGATACCAGAACTTCCGGTATCAGGAAGCTGGGGCAATGAGTCATTGCACACTGCCCGACTTCCTGATTGGCCGAAAAGCCTGCTGCATTCTCGTCAGCAGGGAGCATGGAGCTGGCTTTTCAGACAATCGTGAAAGCCAGGGGATAGGTAATGACTCGCACCCCCTTCCCCGGTTTCCCGATTTGCCAGAAAGACGACTCCATGCTTCCTTGTCACCTGGTGACGAGAGAGTATGGAGACTGCTTCCCGGCTAATCGGGAAGCCGGGCAACGAGTCTACATGCCGCCTGGCTTCCTTAATGGGACTTCCGGTATCGATCGGTATTCAGTATCGGCGAAAAAAAATACTGGTACTCGATAGCGGAAAACTGGTATCGGTGCATCCCTAATTTTTACTAATGGTTTACTTTAAACCTGATAAATAAGCTTCTTTTGGGTATTTTCCATCAGCTTAATAATTAAATTTGTGATTAATTCTATGCACGACAATTGTTGGGTGAGGGTTACTTTATAAGTGTTTTCAGCTTCTAGTACTGCCTGGCCCAGCTGGCTCCATTTTTTTCTCAACTAGCATTGCTAAGTTTGCACACACCAGGCATATAAGAGCCTCTCATCATTGCCCTAAACGCCTCCTACCTCATTCTTTTCAGAAATCTCCTCCCCAAAAGTTGTCCATGTCTTCTTGACATATGTGTAGAACAATGGGGTCATTTGACCAGTAAGGACCCATTCGCCATGCCCCAGGGAAGGTAATAAATTGAGTGTAAGCCCTCCATTTGACATGACTAGCAATGTCAGTAAGGTTTTGCATGCATAGCATATATCCAACCTGGAGGCCCTGTTATTTCTTTGTAACTGCACACAATCTTACCAAAACCTCTCATGCAGTACATCCACTAAAAACCATTCTTCTAAAATGGCACGGGTGGGGACGGAGTGGATGTGGGGAGCTCAGATCTCACATTGCTGGAGGAAAGAACACCCAGAGATCCGTAAGTGTCATAATGTGCAAGTATGCTGTGCATGCTTTCACGTTATGGCAAATGCTGACTGTCCCCACCATGGATGAATTCTGCTTTAAATGCTGTAAATTGTGTTTGTTTTATTAAAACTGACTTTGCAAGAAACCTCCTAATTTTTCTTGCTGCAATTTAATAATGGTTAGCATAGAGCAAGCATATGCAATCTGGAGGCCCAGTCAAGCTTCCAGGATGTGCAAATACATGTGCTATTGTACTTTTGGTTAACATTCTAGTAGAGCTGCAACAGTTAATCGATTAAGTCGATTAAAATCGATGATCGAAGATTTAAATATTTTTATTTAATACTTTTAAGGGCTTCGGGCAAATATTGGGGGTCTAAACAGACCCCTGATATTTCCCTTTTAAAATAGAAAAAGAGGTTGAGAACAAAAAGTCCTCAATCTTTTTTTTTTCTGCATCCCCTGTTATCAATGAACAGGAATCCTCTATACTGAGTGTCCCTGTTCATTGATAACATGAGGACATTGTTTACTATAACTACAACTATGAATGAACAGAAGGTGATGTAGATCACTTCCATTCATTCATAATTGGGGATACAGTACACATACAATGTCCTCAATTATCTACAAACACTCACTGATCAAT